CTGTTGTTTTATAATAAAAAAATAATACAGACATGCTGTTTAATTTGACTTTGTAAGGGATTTTTTCATTTTCCAGGAAAACATTCTATCAAAAAATAGTGAAAAAAATTTATTTTTCTTATTTTATTGCAATTGAGGTTTTATTTGTTGATTTTTTTAAGGTAATAAGTGTTGTTTTATAGTAAAAAAAATAATACAGACATGCTGCTTAATTTTATTTAATTTGTAAGGAATTTTTTCATTTTCCAGAAAAAAATGTTATCAAAAAAAAAGTGAAAAAAATTGATTATTCTTATTCTATTACAGTTGAGGTTAAATTTGTAGGCTTTTTTGAAGGTAATAAGTGTTGTTTTACAGTAAAAAATAATATAGACATGCTGTTTAATTTTATTTAAATTTGTATGGAATTTTTTCATTTTCCAGGAAAACATTCTATCAAAAAAAAGTGAAAAAAATTGATTATTCTTATTCTATTGCAATTGAGGTTTAATCTGTATGCTTTTTTGAGGGTAATATTTATTGTTTTACAGTAAAAAGATAATAGAGATTTGCTGTTTAATTTTTTTTATTGTATAAGGGTTTTTTTTATTTTCCAGTAGAACATTTTATTTAAAATTATTATTGTATAACTAGCAACTTTGTCGTCCGCAAGCGGCCGACTACGTTGCTCGTGTGCATTAACCATATCTTTATTCACTTCTTTTTTTTTCAAAAAATTTAATATTAGAAATTTACAAAAAATTTCTTCATATTAAATCTACCACCCAAGGAGCACGGAATATTGCTTGAATGTCAAGGTGATATCAAGCGGGAATATTGTTGTGACATTCAGGCGATATCATAATGTCCGCTTCATGGGGACATTCTACGGTGATATTCTTGTGAAATTCGCGTGATATTTGTATGGTACTGAGGGAATATTCCCGTGAAATTCACGCAATATTAAGAAAATATTCCTGGGATATTAAGGGAATATCCCTGTGATATTGAGACAATATTCCTGTAATTTAGAAAATTCTAAAATGTTGTTTATTTTGAATATTTAATTAAACAAATAAATCAATAAAAAAAATTGAAATTTTGTTAGAATTTTATAAATTATCTTATTAATATCACTGGAATATTCCCTCAACATCAGAGGAATAATTCACTCAATATCACACAAATTTCACGGGAATATTCCCTCAATATCATACGAATCACACGTGAATATCGCCGAGGAATGTCCCCGTAAAGACATTATGATATCGCCTGAATGTCACGGGAATATTCCCACTTGATATCAATGTTACAATCAACCAATATTCCGTGCTACTTGGGCGCTTAACTTTACTTTTCCCTTATGACAGCAACTACTAAATAATCTATGTGACGGTCTCTCACACAGAAAATGTAACACATAACAAAACTTACATTCTACATTCATCAAACCTAAATAATTTTGTGGAACCTTACTTTTATTGAAAACTTTAAGACATTATTGCATCTCCTACACTTTTTTATTTCGGTTATCGTTTTCACATGCCAAATTCTTTTCTTGACGCACTTTCTTTTCATCTTCCGTTTCCGTAGAAAATTTGTTCTTCTTACATGACAAATTATTTTCTTGACGCACTTTCTTTTCATCTTGAGTTTCCATTGATATTTTTCTTTCCCTACATGCCAAATTTTTATCCTTGTGTATTTTCTTTTCATCTTTAGTTTCTATAGATAATTTCTTTTTTTGCATGTCAAATTTTTTTTGCGCTCTTTCTTTTGTATTTCTGTTTCTGTTTCATTACGATTACGTTTTCTCAATCTACCATTCTCTTGTCTAATTATTTTCTGTTCATATGTAACTTCGCGCGTTGCCTTCCCTTTTCTTTAATTCCTAGAATTATCTTTTTATCAATTTCTTCACTCAGAAAATACTTCATTTCTGAATATTCAAGTGGTGAAATTTTATTCATATTATTATTAGTTGTACGAATTATTTTCTCTTCACTAGTGTCATTTAGGGAATGTTTAATTTCTAAATATTGTGTTAATAGAACTCTGTTAATATTATTGCTGGGAAAAGTATTAAAACAGAACAAGGGTTCAAAATATTATTTTTAAGTTCCTGAGCTCGATTTATGAAAAGACGGTTCCAATCATTCTCTATTATCGAATTCCTATTGTGAGACGTTCTTATTGACGGAAAATGATTTAAGCGATTATTTTCAAACATTGACTTTAAATGGTTTCTCATTCTGTTATTATCAGTTTCATAATTTACGCTGTTTGACATTACGTTAAAAAATATAGATGTTGCAAATGCTATTGCATATACTCCACACTCAACACTACCAAAAGGTTGTTGATCAACAACTACAAAAACTACTGTTGGTTTAAAAGGGAACAATCTAATTAAATATTTCATTTGATGCACATTTAAACACCCCTCATTAAGGCTATAAAAGTATAAGTATTTTGCCTTTAATTCAATATAACAAATTTTGCCTTTTATCCAATACAACTACCAATATCCAATAGAATAAGAGAACTATGAATGAGTAACTACTGATCAGCCAATAAGTGCAAAAGGACACTCTTATATGATTAATCAGTAGTTCATTACAGATACCATATATACATATATATACACTTGTATTAAAACCCCGGATTAATTACCACAAAAAAGCAACCCTTGGACAATAGAACCTTTGTTAAATAATCAATGAAAATTAACTCTGAGGACCCAAGTAATAATTTCTTTTCTCCCATTTATTACATGGAAAAATACCCTTAGATAATAGAACCTTTGTTGATAAGGATTAACTATGAGAACTTAGGTAATAATTTTTAAATTTTTTTTATTAAAATTTTCAGGGACTCTAATACAGGTATGCACATATATATATATATATATACATATATATATATATATAGATATATATATTTATTTTTATTTTCAAAACAAAAAGGAAGAAGATTAAGATTTTAGACGAAGATATTCTTATGCCATTTTGAATTGTCTAGATAGAGAAACGCAATGTTAAACGAAGAAGTACTTATGTTATATTCCTTGGTGTAAGAAAGAAAGGTATGCGTTACCTATTTAGTTTTAGACTTTCTTTATAGTTTTTTTACGTGATAAAGACAGAAAGAAATTATTACCTGGGTCCTCAGAGTTATTAATTAATCCTCTTTAAAAGATTGCAGGTCAAGTGAACCCTCATTTGCAAAATAAAGATATATCTTTCTCTCTCCATAACTTGTTCTTTTCTCTGTCACCGAAAACCCAGCAGGGGTCCGGACGGAATGAATGAATGGACGGAATGAAGGAATGAATTCAAAGATTATTATTGTATAATAATAATAATAAAGTGCGTGGTCTGTCCTTCTGTCCTAACTTGAAGTTGGTCTATGCTGATTTCACGTGTTTTTTGAATTGTAATGTTATGACGTTTCAAATTTTGAATATTACTTTTCTCTTTTTTGCCAAGTTGTATAATTGTGTTTTCTAATTGCGGAATTGGTTTCTTTAACATTTCTTTATAAAAAACAACGAAACAACTAATTTCGCGCATTTAATTTTGCTAGTAATATAATAAAATAATAGTAATAATAAATTTAATTTAAAAAAGGTAAAAAATGAATTTTTTTAAATCTTGGAAATGAATGAATGAATTAAATTTATTATTTATTTATTTCATAATAAAACAATTATTGTATTTTAATAACATTAATATATTTCAATAAATAAAAAAAGAAAGCTGCTTCAAAGAAATATTGATTGTGATTCAGAATGTTTTAGATAGCTGTACAAAATATCTTTTTGAATCTCGCCTCCTGATTTTGGTTCATTCTTAAAATCATTACCAGTTGGAGTATTAAAATCATCTGTTTGAATAATTAGAAATTCTGAAAAGTAATGAAATTTTCAATTATTCAAGTCTGAAAATTATTTAGAATAATAAATATTAATTTATTAAAAAAAGATACCTGGCAGCATGGAAACAGTGGTAATTTCCGTGTTATGAGAGAAATGCGTTGAACATTTCATACATTTATACACTTTTCGTTCTATCGACCTCTTTATTATTCTCTCGTTTAGAGTTTTCATGATTTTTAAATGAAATTAATTGGCGGAATATTATACAGTCAACTTGTGGTTCATTTTCATTATTTACAATTTCAAATGGTAATAAAAACCATTAAAATTTTTTTAGATTAAAAAATTTTTAAATTCACAAAAAATTTAATTTTTGTATAAATTTACAGAAATTCCCCTGACTTTTCCCTGGCATTTCCCTGACCAACAAAATTTCCTGACTTTCCCTAACCGTTAGACATCTTGTAAAATTTTGATTGGAAATCTCCTAAAGTTCAATTATTATTAAAAATTTTGATTCACATTTTTTGTTGAAATAATTATTTATAATTATTTATTTGTATTAAATAAATAAATAAATAATAACATTAATCAAGATTTTGTCATTTCAATTATTTCAAACATTTTTCAATTCAAATTACTCTAAAATTTAATTATTGTTTGAATTTTATTAAAAATCTTCGTAAATTCAATTTTTAAATAAAAAAATTTTATTTTTACGAAAATGCAAAAGGACCGAAATAACAATCGACAGAAAGATTTTGGAGTGAATTTTAAAAGTTACCACTCAATTTTTTTTAATAATTATTGATTAATAAATTTGAATATTCACGCCAAAATCTTTTTGGCGATTGTTTCTTCAGCCCTTTTAATTTTCGAACAAATGAAAATTCGGATATTCAAGAATTCCATTTAATAACATTTTGTGCAAATAAAAATTGAATTAGAAATTATGACATTTAGATATTTAAATTACTTAAAATGCTATATTGAAAGAGAATTCTGCTAAATTAAAATTAGGTTAAATTAGAATTATTTAAAAATAAACACTTGTGTAAAGAGAAATTTTGTAAAGTAAAAAGTCTCTAAAAAATTACCAAATTAAAATTTAAAGAGAGTGTTTTATATTTATTTTCGAGCTCTGTGAGCCTCTGCTCTAATTCCGCAATTTTCTAAAATTAAAAAAATTAATTAATAAAATTGTTAAACTAAAAATTATTTTACATCACTTTAGGATTAAATAGATATTTACATTTTTATCCTCCGGCTGCCGTTGACGTGGCAATGTCCGTCGCCGAGTCGTCTCAGGCCACTGCTCCTTTTCACGATGATCGGTTTGATCAGGCTTTTCTGGTTGCTTATGCTGCTGTTGTTGCTGCAACTGCTGCTGATACGGCTGTTGTGGCTGCTGATACAGCTGCTGATACGGATGCTGATACGGCTGCTCATATGGCTGAAGCGACTGCTGATACGGCTGAAGCGATTGCTGATACGGCTGAAGCGACTGCTGATATGACCGTTGAAGCGGCTGTATAGTTGACTGCATCAGCGGTAGATTAGTTGACTGCATCAGTTGTTGATTAGCTGACTGCATCATCGGCGGATTAGCTGACTGCATCATCGGCGGATTAGTTGACTGTATCATCGTCGGATTAGCTGAATGCACCAGCGGCTGTGCAGTTTGCTGCTGCATCATCGGCGGATTAGCTGACTGCATCAGCGGCTGATTAGCTGAATGCAGCAGCGGCTGATTAGTTGACTGCATCAGCGGCTGTCCAGTTTGCTGTTGCAGAGGCTGTCCAGTTTGCTGTTACAGAGGCTGTCCAGCTTGCTGTTGCAGAGGCTGTCCAGCTTGCTGTTGTAGAGGCTGTCCAGCTTGCTGCTGCATTGGTGGCGGAATATCTGACTGCATCAGCGGCTGTAAATTTTGCTGTTGCATATCGGCTGATTATTTAAATGTATTAGCGGCGAATTAGTTGACTGCATCAGCGGCTGATTAACTGACTGCATCATCGGCGGATTAGTTGTCTGCATCAGCGGTTGATTAGCTGATTGCGTCAGCGGCTGTCCAGTTTGCTGCTGCATCGGTTGTTGATTCATCTATTACAAGAACAAAACATTTTATTAGTATTGTTAAAAATATTAATTTCATTATTTTAATTGTTTTAATTACTTTTAATTTTTATTATTCTTAATGTATTATTTATTTGAATTATTTATACTATTTTTATAATGACTGTTATTTTGCATTATTTTTCAATGTTATACAAAAAATATTATGTTTAACATATGTCGGTAAAGATCTCAATTTTTTCAAAACATACAAAATAATCGTACGATCGCAATAAAAATTTTTTTTATAAAATAGAAAAACAATTCTTTTTGATCGTGTTGTGGAATTATTTTTATTTGTCTAGGTCTAGCAAAGAACGTTTCACACAATACCGTGAAAGAATTTTTTTTCTTACGTAAGGAAATTCTTTTTCCAAAAAAAGTTTACTTACTCCTTAAATCTGAATATGTCAAAAGTCGTGTACATAAAAAAGAAGTTTATATACACTTAAATAAGTCAATACACACTTTCGCGTAAGTGTATATGCACTTTTTTTACGTAGATGACTTTTGACATACAATAAGTGACTATTCACTTATTTACATTTAGACAGTATATCAAGAAATTGTACTTGAAAGTTTTCTTTTTTTTATTAGTTTTGAAAAGAGTATTTTTTCATTTTGTTAATTTTTTCAATCAAAAATAGAAAGAAAAAGTAGCAGGAGATCGATAGAAGAGAAGCAGAATTTCTGTTTTCAAACTAGATGAATATAAAAGTCGCTAATTATCAATAATACAAATACTCGGTTTTAAAATACTAAATTTTTTTATAATTCCACATTTAAATAAGTTTTTGTTCATTATTCTTTTTCTCTTAGTCACTTGACACAAAGCTGATTAAAAAAAGGAAGAAAAGATCAATGTAAATTAAAAAAAAAGGTTTCATGCAAATTTTGTAATGAAAAAATTCGCACAGTGTGTGAATTAATTTTTTCAATCGTCGAAACTGCCATTGTCGAAAAAATAAAATTTTTTTTTCAAAACTTCACAAGAAGTTTTTAAAGAAAAAAATTACAATTATTATAATAACAAAACTTGTGTTTATTTTTTTTAAATTGTGCGAATGGAATTTCAAAAAAAAATATATTCCAACATTTGTGAATAAGACAGTTATGAACGAATGGCGCCTAAATAATTTAATATAATGTAAAAAAAAATTCAACTACAGTTCATTATATTTATATTTTTATATCAATATTGCAATCTAAACACGGTGTTTTTTTCATTTCTTTTTCTCTTTTTCTGTCGAGAAAACAAAATATAAATTAAAAAAGAATATATTATTTCTAAAGATATCACACTTAATGCAAAGTAATTAACAAAAAAACGGTAATTGATAACAATAAGAATAATAATAATAATTAATATTATTATTATTATTATTATATAATATAGAGGAAAAAAAAATTAGAGATAAAAAATCACATGTTATTTTTTTTTACAGTTTATATTTAGCCGTTCGCAAGAAACTTTTTTTCCAAATTGCAAATTAACTTTTCCTTTTCAATGAATAATCCGAAAGGCGAATTTTTTATACTGAAAAATATAAAAAAAAACCTGGATTAAACTTCTTTAAATTATCGAAATCGTTTATCCAAAGAGAAAAAAAAATAAGAAACTCAAAATAAAAAAAATCAATCTCAAAGACTAACACGGTATTGCGAGGAACATTTTTTAATATATTCACTGCATTTTATAGAATGCATACATATGTAACAGTGGATTTTAATTAACCTTGCGAGGAAAAAGATGTTTCGAAAAAATGATTTTTTTCCAAAATATTTTGACAATAATTATTTTTTTATTAACGATTTCGATAATTAAAAGAAGTTTAATCCAGTTTTTTTTTTATTTTTCAGTATAAAAAAATTCGCCTTTCGGATTATTCATTGAAAAGAAAAATTAAAAGTCAATTTGCAATTTGGAAAAAAAGTTTCTCGCGAACCCCCGTTGTTGTAAAATGAAAAAAAAGAAAAAAACCGTTTATTCGGTAAAAACATTTTCTATAATGTTGACGGTTTTTACTCACATTGTTTGTTTCTTCTTTTGAACCCTTTGCCTGTACTCCTGCTCGCCCCCTTCCACCTCTTCCTCCTTTTCCTGATTTTCCAATTTTTCCACTTCCTTTGTTGGATGGTGCCATAAACTATAAAAAATTTAATTAAATACATTAAAAATTTTAAATAAAAAGAATGGACCTAAAACTTTGAACGTTCAAATGAACAAATTTTGTTGTTATTTTTTTAAAGATTAAATTGTAGTGCAAAATATTAATTTACACATTAAAAACTGAATTATTTACCTAATAAAAGTTGAATTTCTCATTAAAATACAATAATTTTGGAAAATATCGAAAAATAAAAAAAAATTCGTTTATTTTCATTTTCAAAACTTTAGAGAATATAAAAAGAAACACAAAATGTTTTCGTTATTATTTATTTAAAATTATTAAAATTACTCAGACGTTAAAGACTTGACTAAACACAAAACGTGATTATAAGATAGTTACAGTAATAAATGAAAATAACTTACGTTTTTAGTTTCTTGAGGAACCTTCACCGTTCTCGCACTATCAACTGCACATCCATCAAAGTCCAATTAATAATGACTACTGACGTTCCAAAAATCCGTCGAGATATTTAGGACGCGAGCGAGTAGACTCTGCAGTTAGCCAATAGCCAATCATCGACAAGTGTTTAGGGCATTTCACACTCGCATGCTTAATTGGTGGAGGTGACAAAGACATTTCTAATATTTAAACACTATGATTGGACCTTCAGGCATTTGTATCGAAATAAAATGTAAACACAGAGTTTAATGAAAACAAACACCAGGACCGTACAAAAAATTACTTACCTAAAATCTTCCATCGAAAATCCCAAATTATTTAATTTAAAAAATTTAACTTGTGACTAATTGAGCTTTTAAAAATAAATTGTCTCAATTAAATACAAGACAGCGTATGGGCAAATGCTTTTTAATAATAATAAAATATTTTATCTACAAGTTTTATTGTCCCGAATTTTTAATTTTTCAAAAAAATTAATTTTTGTACAAAAAAGAACGAAGCGAGCACAATTCAGCACTACTTTTGTTTTTTTGAAAATTTTTACTTGTCATATTTAAAATGTTTTTTGATATTTTCTCCCGAATTTTCGAGTTTTTCAAAAAATTAATTTTGGTACAAAAAAGCACAAGTCGAGCATAATTTTTAGTTTAATATAAAATTGATTATTTTAAATATAATAGTTAAATTATAAATACATATATATATACAAATCAAAATATTATAAAAGTACTTTTTATTTGTAATGTAAAAGATACTTACAAAAATTTCAAAATACTTACCAAAAAACCACTTAAAACACTGGTAGCAATAAAGTAAAGTGATTCCAGTGCCATAGACAGAGCGCGCTTTGATGCGTAGACAAAACATAAGAGAAAGAGAGAACGAAGTATAGCACCTATAACCACAAGAAAACAGAAAGCCGGCCGGCTTGTTTGTTTTGAAAAGTACATTGTTGACCCGTTCGAACCAGCAAAGTTTGTATAAAATACGGTCGCGTGTGATATTTATATTTTGCATTTCACAAATATAAAAAGTGTAGGAAAAAATTTCAATTTCGACCTTTTTTTAGAAAGTGGAACGTGATTAGTGACGAAAGGACAGGAGATATATTACTGTTGTGTTTTCGAAAATAAGTGTAGTGATAAAAACAAATAATGGAAGAATCAAAAAATGGACAGGAGAAAATGAAACAAATATTAAATAAGTGTAACAAGAAGAGGAATGGAAAATATAAAACATCTGGAAGAAGATTATCCATGACAAAAGCTGCAAGATTAAGGTAAGTTCGTAGAATTAATTATTAAGTAGAATAAGAATTATATAACATTAAAAAATTTATTGTTTATTATTTTCAACATAGAAAATTTGTTTTTTACTCTGTTATTTTTCATATAAAGCTTCTTTAAAATTTGTTATCTATAACTTTTAAAAAATTAATTTTTTATTTAATATGTAACATTTGTTTACATAAAATAGTTATCATTATTAGTATATTTATTCAGTATTTTTTAATAAAAATATATGTACACTTTTTTTAAAAATAATACACTCACACATGATCGAATAGCAAAATTTTTCATGTCCAAAAATCAAAATATTTTTTCATTAACAAAAATTAATGTTTATGATAATTGAGAACAACAAAAAACGATTTTTTTAATAATAAAAATAGGTACACATTTTTTGAAAATAATACTCATATATTATCAAATAGCAAAATTTTCTATGTCCAAAAACCAAACTATTTTTCCATCAGCAAACATTAATGTTTACAATAATTGAGAACAACAAAAAACGATTATTTAATAAAAATATAGGTGCACTTTTTTTGAAAATAATACACACACATATGATCGAATAGCAAAATTTTCTGTCCAAAAGTCGAAATATTTTTTCATCAACAAAAATTAATGTTTATAATGATTGAGAACAATAAAAAACAATTTTTTGAATAAAAATATAGGTGGACTTTTTTTGAAAATAATACACTCACATATGATCGAATAGCAAAACCAATTATATTTTCAATGTTAAAAAAAATTATTTTTACAATAAACAAACTCCACTACCCTACGAGGAAAACCGACTTTTTTTCAAAAGATTTTGTAGTAAAAAAATTTTCTATTTCCATTAATTTTTATTAAATCAACTTTTTTTGGATAAAATTCAATTTTTCCAGAATAATGTTTGGCTGATAATTATTTTTTTAAACAAATTAAATTGTTCTATGTTTCTAAAATGTTGGAGAACCTATTCCATGGCGCCCTTAAAAATATGGACGTTTTCTACACTATAGACTTTTTTTTAAGAGGTGGTACAAAACGTAAATATTTTTGGGGGGTCCGTGGAATAAGTTACCAAGCATATTTGAAACATTGAACAATTTAAGTTGTTTAAAAAAAAGCAAAAATTTATTCTAAAAAATTCTACTTTTTTCCAAAAAAAGTTGATTTTAAAAAAATTAAGCTGGGTACAAAACGTCTATATTATTTTTGTGGAGGGAAGTCGTGGAATATGTCCCCAAAGATATTCCAAACATTGAACAATTTAATTTGTTTAAAAAAATATTTAGCAGACAAACTTTATTCTATAAAAATTGAAATTTTTCCAAAAAGATTGATTTAAAAAAATTAAGGGGGTAGAGAACGTCTATATTTTTGGGGGGGCCGTGGAATATGTTCCCCAAAATATTCGAAACATTGAACATTTTGTTTTGATTAACAAAATAATTAGCAGCCAAACTATATTCCATAAAAACTGAAATTTTTTTTAAAAAAAGTTGATTTAAAATAAATTAAGGGGGGTAGAAAACGTTCATATTTTTTAGGGGGAACGTGGAATATGTCCCCAAAGTTATTCCAAACTGGAAGAATTAGTAAATAAATATGTTATTTATTCAATTCAAATTATGATTTATTTGAATCATAAATTCTTACATTTTATGCAAATAAAATAATTTATATGGATCAAATAAAATAATAGTTGCCACAATTAAAGAGGTTTTAGTTTCAATTAAAATAATTACTTATGATAAATAATTGAATATTTAATTGAAGAAAATTTATGTTTTATTCAAGAAAAATTTTTTATTCATGCAAATAAGTATTTATTTGAATCAAAAAGATGCAGTATTGAATGAAATAATATTCATAATTGATGCAAATAATTATTTAGGTATTAGCTTTGAATATTCCATTTATTTGATTTGAATACTTTGTATTTGATTCAAATTACTATTTATTCGATACGATAAAATAAAATACTTATGTCTAGTAGATATTTATTTGAATGGAATAATTTCCACAATTAATTGAAATAATTATTTAGGGGCCATCCACAAAGCATGTGATGCTTTAGGGGAAAGGGGGGGGTCAGAAAAATATTACACTACATGTTAATCGTAAATGGAAAAATCATCACAAGGAAGGGGGGGGTGTCAAATTTTCGAAAAAATGTATCACATGCTTTATGGATGACCCCTTATTAGCTTGAAATATTCCATGTATTTGATTTGAATACTATTTATGTGATACAAATTATTATTTATTTGGCACGATAAAATAAAATACTTTGGTTTAGTAAATGTGTATTTGGTCCAAATACATTTTCATTGGATAATTAGAAAAGTAAATGACGTATTTTGATCAAACATTTTTTATTTGATCTAAATAAATTTTTTTTCAGTGTATAAAAGCTATTGATAGTTTTGTATTGTATATGTTAGTAGAATTGTGAAAACAAAGCGAAAAATTTTCTTTTTATTTTTTTATGTTACTTCTAGTTCCTTGGTTTTGCGTCATAGTAAGGACTTTTTATAAAATTGTTTTATAAATTATTTAAATATGTACATAATGAGTACATCAATTAATATCTCTTAATAACCTTGCAAATGTAGATTCAATTTAAAAAAAAAGAAAAACTTATTCTTATTTCACAATAAGGAGTACGTAAGAGTTTTTGAGGTCGCTGAATTCAAATTTGACCTCACATTTACAAAATTTCATTTTTTTCAAAATATAGGATAAAAAATGGCGACGAACACTATTTAAAAAGTTTATCAATTTTCCTGAAATTAGGAACATGGAGGTCGGTGAAGTTCACATCGATTACGATCATCGAAAATTTAAAATCCAAGTTACTCCATAAACACAACAAAAACGTACAAAAAACTTCAAAAAAAGATTATACTTAACAAAAAAATTCAGTTCAACCCCAATTTCATTTAAAAACCACCCCTAGTATAACCCCCTATAATGACACTTTGAAAAAAAATTCAATTTTTCTTAGGCTCACAATTTTATTTCAAATTCTTGCACTAAACACACCTACAAGTGTTGAAAAAAATTGGCACCCCAAAAAAGTGAGGGAAAGGCTCCAAAACCTACCCTAAAGTCCACATCTTTGATAAAAAAAATTCCCAAAAAATTCAATTTTTTTTGGCTCACAATTTTATTTCAAATTGGCACCCCAAAATAAGTGGGGAAAGACTTCTATAACTATATAACTTACTAACTATAACTTAACTTATAACTTACATTTATATAATTTACTAATGCATTAAGTATAGTATATTGGATAGTGTATATATAGTATAAGTATATATAACTTCTTTAAAAGTGCATCAATTCTAAATTATTTTTAATGTACTTTTCAAAAAGAAATCGAAATTATTTTTTAAGTTATATTACTATTGAATTTTTAAGTTTTAAAGATAAAAGTTAATTTCTCTAAATTGACGTACTAATCTATTTTTTTTAATAAAAAGTATCGGAAAATTCGATTTTCATGTTAAAAAACATAAAAAAGTTCTAAAATTTATGGGTTTGTTCTTTTATTGTGTAAAATATGCAATATTTAATCAAAATTTATGGATTTTATTCTAAATTTTTTTATATTTTATGTAATATTTTATAATTTTGCATATTTTATCCAATAAACAAAAAAAACCTTTTAGGATTTTTTTCTGGTTTTTTACTATAAAAATCAAATTTTTGGGGTATTATTATTATGATTTGCGTAATTAGCGCATCAAAATACATAAAAGGATGTAGTATAAAAAACCAAAAATATTTTTAAAAATTTCAAAATTGAAACATTTTTTAAAAATTCCAAAAATATTGTAAAAATTGTTTGTCCACGATCCGGCAAGGCTTAAAATTTTAGCAAAAAGTAGTTTTTTGAAAAAATTTTTGAATTTTTTTGTTTGTTTGTTGTTTGTTGATTTTACATTCTGACAATAAGTGATAATTGCCAAAATAGTTTGCATATTCAAGCAGTCGGGGAAGTTTGTCGAAGCTGAAAGTTTAAAATTCAACAAAAAGTCACAAAAATTTTATTTGTTTGTGAATATGATGTTTTTTTAAAATGTTTATTTACTAATTGAA